CGCTCCCAGCCATTGGCCAGATATCGCATTCCCGAATGCCGCGACTGGTGGCAGCCACATGGCTCAACATTGAGCTGGGAAACACGACACATGGCATATAGAAGGCTGTGTACCTTCGGCTAATCTACATGGGTATTTAATCTTTATGGTCCGGCGTAGTGGCAACCTTCGATACCCGGCATCTGGAACACTTTGTGGGGTTAATGTACGGATATGAAGCGGCTCTCTGCGAGCTGCATGTGTTTGGTAATTTTAATTGCAAGATCTTTTCTTATGTATAATACTTCGGTTGGAGGCCAGATTCCGTTCGTCGGAGAACGAACGGCCGAACACGACACGACGACCGGCTGATGTTGGTCAGCAAGGGATAGATGTCTTGTTGTTGTTGAAGGGATACGGGATATTTGCCGAGTTGCAAACAAAGGACCATTGCAGTCGAAACAATGAAGATAATGATAATATCGAAGTAGGCCCTTCTCTGGTGTAGCATGTCTGATAACAAAACTTCCACAAACCATGCATTCTCTTCCCGCGAACATCGACGGGTCGGCCGTAATAGTCGCCGCAAGATCTACTCTTCGTCCAGACCATAGCCAGGTAAATTGGCCACCCGCCGCCTCGGTGCTACAGTGCGGACCCTGGAGAGTGCGCGCATCAATCTAGCAGCAGCACTAACCCGTGCCACCTAGGCTAAAGTAGGAAGCCGACTTGACTACTTGGCAAGACCCCACCAATTGACCTTCCATTCGAGCACCAAGCCCGATAAGCTTCTGTACTTCGATCCACCGCGCTTGGTCACTACGTAAACCTCCTTCTGCTTTGGAGCTGGCGGTGCAGACAAGCACGACAGATCTCCTAAGCTTTTTTCGGTGCCATCCGTGGTTTAATAGGCGTTGAGTTTAATGACTCGGTAAGCCTTGCAGCCGATGATCCTGTGGCCCTTACCAAGGGCCGCAGGATGGGCGGCAAAACGGTATAGCGTCGAACTTAGCTATGTATATATGGGCGGCCTGAGGATGGCGAAGATGGATCTCTACGCCGTTCTTTCGTCCTTGAGTCGCTGTCGTGGTCTGTGCCGTCGATTGGGCTGTGTGTCTGACAACCTTGGTACCGAAGCTGCGCAGAAGAATATCTTCGCTCTTCTCCCGACACCCATACCTCACTCGCGCGGATCTCTTGCGGAGGTAATCCGGGTACAACAGTTCCTATCCACGCATCGTTACTCCTTTCATCCTCAGCATGCGGTCCTCGGTCTCCGTCTCGGCAGTGGCCCTCGCCCTGTTGCAGGGCACCAACGCCTTGAATGCGGCCATTCAGCGCAAGCTTAATCTGCTTGCCGATATGGGCATGAATCCAGATGGCTCGGCAATGGTTACTTTCTCCGACGATGCCGAAAACAGCGTTTTCGATGCCACGGCTTTCAAATCCCTCAAGATTGCGACTACGTCAAACAGCCCGGCTGTGTTGGCTGCCGCGCCGCTCAGAAACATCACTCCGGAATATGTCGAGCTGCCACTGGACCATTTCGCCTACAAGAAAGGCCAGGATCCTTCGTACCATGGCACATATTTCAACAGGTACTGGGTCAACATGGATGCGTACAAGCCTGGCGGTCCCGTTTTCCTCTACGACACAGGCGAGGCAGATGCAGAGCCGGGTGCGCTGACCAGGCTGCTGAACGAAACCAGCTTTTTCAAGCAGCTGGTCGATGATTATAACGGTATCGGAATCGTTTGGGAGCATCGGTTTTACGGAAACTCAACACCCACCCCCATCGACCTCAACACGCCAGCCGAGGCATTCGAGTTCCTGAACACGGAGCAGTCGCTTAAAGATGTCGACGCCTTTGCTAGGCAGTTCAGCAGGAAGGGTGTCAATGCTACGCTCACACCCGACAAGACTCCTTGGGTTTTCGTTGGTGGCTCGTACCCCGGTATGAGGGCCGCTTTCATGCGCAACATGTACCCCGACACCATCCACGCGTCTTGGGCCTCTTCAGCTCCCGTCGAAGCTTCCGTTGACCAAAGCTTCTACTTTTCACCTATCTGGCGCGGTATGCATGCCAAGGGCTTCGGAAACTGCTCGGAGGATATCCACGCTGCTGTTAACTACATGGACAACATCATGGACACAGACTCACGCGCAACCGCCAAGCTTAAGGAGCAGTTCCTTGGACTTGGAGCTGCCAACAACTCTAACCCAACCTTTGCCGATGCTCTTACGACTCCCTTCTACCTATGGCAGTCTTACGGTATGGAAGGTGGATCTCTGGGTCTCCGTCAATTCTGCGACTACCTCGAGAAGGACCCCAAGACGAACACTACAGCTCCCGCGGAGGGCTGGTCCAAGAGCAAGGGTGCGAAATGGACGGTTGATCGATGGGCGAGCTACCCTGTCTTTGCCAACAACACGAATGATTACTTGGAAACCGAGTGCTCGGGCAAGTTGAACGTGACCGGTAACTGTGACCTGAACCAGAGGTTCACAGATCCCGCTTCGATTGCTTGGACGTGGCAATACTGCACACAGTGGGGTAAGTCTTCGTCCTCTCAAACCCAACTTCCCTCCTTGCATAATACTAATTTACCCAACAGGATACTTCCAATCCGCCAACCTAGGATCCCAGCAACTCGTCTCCAAGTACAACTCGCTTGAACACCAAAAGGACATCTGTCACCGCCAATTCCCCAACGCTCCCAAGTCGCTCTTCCCTGAGTGGCCAAACACCGCCCGCACCAACAAGATCTTCGGAGGCTGGGATATCCGTCCTTCCAACACCTACTGGTCCAACGGTGAATTCGATCCCTGGCGCACTCTCTCCCCCGCTTCCGCTGAGCCCTTTGCCCCCAAGGGCGTCCAAGTCATCCAGGACGTACCCAAGTGTGGAGTGAAGACCAGCAGGAACGAGCTGTTTGGTTTGGTCCTAAAGGACGCGCAGCATTGCTACGACTTCAGGACGACGGGTTCTACCGTGCCCGATGGACCCGTTAGTCGGACGTTGTTCAGGAAAGCGCTAAGCGAGTGGCTGCAGTGCTACAAGCCCAAGAAGGGCCAATCGAAGCCGTGGAATGCCTAGATGCAGTATGCAGGTCTGGGAAAGGGCCGTCCCCTTGCTTCGGGTAGAAGAGGTGGCATTGCTACGTATTGTTCTTCCCTGCCACACCTTACTTAGACGTCATGATAATTGTTAGTCTTATCATCTTACAACTTTGACCTCGCCACGCTGTCGTGTGACTGCTGTTCTCGCGTTTTATCCAAGCGAGCTTCCCATTCCCAAACTTCCCCCGTAAACCTATCCTTTTCCCATGCCTCGTACACATTCCTCTTCTCTTCCTCGCCACTAACCCCACACATCTCCCCCCACGCCTCCAACTGCTCTTTAAACCCCGGGTTCGGGTCGCACACCGGTCGTCCCTCACATAGCTGCTCCAGCGCTGCGGCAGGGGTGATGTTGTACTTCCAGATCAAGTATGCGCAGACGAGTGTTGCAGAGCGGGATTTCCCCATTGCGCAGTGGATGAAGACGCCGCCTTTTTCGGCGGTTAGGGCTGAGTCGATGTATTGGACGGCGGGGGTAAAGTCTTGGAGCAGGTTGGTGTTTGGGTGGTCTTCTGAGCGGATGTGGAAACTGAAGATGAAGATTACATTAGTAAACCGAGATACCACCCTTGTAACAAATACAATACATACTATACACATCGATTAGCACACTTATATATATGAGCTGAGTTTTGACAATCATTGCACGTTACCTGTTTCAAATGCCTAAACTTCTCCTGTAGTAAAGGGTCATAATCTATCACAGATAGAACGTGCGTTATGCCTGCTTTATCTATCAAGTCGCCCTGGTATAGGGCGTAGAGACCGCCGATGTAGAGTTTACCCGCCCGAGGGACGAGGTCGACCCAGCCCATGCCTGTGTGTCCTGTGCTGCCGTGGAGGAGGAAGGACATGTAGTTGGGAAGCTAGATGACTAGGAAAGGAAAGGTGAAGAGCTGTAGAGTGGGTAGAGCGATGGATGTGTGATGGAGTTGATGGCTATGGGAGGACGAGAGTGTACGATCGCGGAGAAAGTACCGAGGTACGATTGGAACAGTGCATCGTCTTCTTCTCGATGCCATATCTACACATCTTCGTACGAGCCTGCCCTCTTCTTTCGCATCTTTATATTGACATGCGATGGGTATCGTCGCTGCAATGTTCGAATGATATTGCGTGAGAGGTGCTGCCCGCAATCGGCCAATGACAGCCGGTGAGAGAGGGTCCCACCTGCGTGGAGCGCTAGACGGCGGACGCGCCTTCCAGCCTCGCCATGAGACGCGTCAAACTTCACACTTACTATCTGGCATCATCATGCTCACTTCCAAAGATCGCGCGATATCTTCTCGACATCGTAGCCCGTACATCGCGGACCACTATGCGACTGGACCGCAGGCATGAGCTCCAACGATATTTGTGCGCGCGGGCTCAGACATGACGTCAACGCGACTCTATCGAACTGATGGAAACACCATCATGCGCTCACCCATACAGGCTGACGGGAAGATGGTATATCCGCGTACTAATTTCTACTAGCAAAGCGTCGCTCAGGTGTTATGGCGTCGAGGACCTACTCTTCGTTCTCTACCCGTCCATGAGTATCACCATGTTTTCGTTCCATCAATCTTTCTGTTGTTTAGATCGAGAAGTCGCAAGCTCGACGCAGGAATTGCTTGCATGCATGCATTTCAGAAGAGCGTGGAGTAGACGGGTGATACGCAAACTTGGTCTATCCTATGCATAGGTGCCTGTGGTGAGGGTCTTGTGTAACGCTACAGGGCCCAGCCGCGTTCAATCGACCAATATAGTCCCCGCGACTCTCGTCTAGTGAAGGGAAGCAGGAAACCGATTGTCCTAAACCGGCTAGCCGCAGCCAGATACAGGTCCAAGCAAACAACTATTTTCGACACAAATGTTGCTCGGTCGTCTCCGAGTCTCTCCCCATTGACACTGCCCGCAAAATGTCGCTCAAGCCAGTTCATATCACGCAAGGGCCGTTCTTCTACCCCGTCGGCAACACCCCAGCTGTGTGCTTGACCCAATCCCTACCGCGCGAACAAGATGCCGCCCTGCTACTACTCGGTTGTGGAGATATCCGAAATATCCTCTTCACTGCTTATAGTGGAGCTGGAGCTGGTAAGTCCTTTCCTCGACTATACATTTCACCTGCTTATACTGACTGGGACGCAGACGACAGAAAGCTTGACTTCACATGCTGCGACATTGAGGCGGAGATCATTGCGCGCAACGTACTCGCCTTGACACTCATCCTTGACGACACGAAAGGCACCCGCGTACGACAGCTATGGAACCTGTACTATCACATCTTTATTGATGGCGAATCCGCTGGTGTTCTACGCTCTCAGTCGAAAAAGCTGTTGGAGCTTGCGCATTCGTTAAAAAGCTGGAATGAAGGTCCATATGGCTCAACCATCCGATTCTGTGACAGCACCACACTCGAAAACGTTACTAAGCTCTGGGCGCTATATGCGTTAGAGCCAGTTCAAGACGAGACGTACAAGGTGACACAAGATATGCTGAAAGATCAATGGCAGGCTGCCAAGCAGGTGCAGGCCCTCAAGACATCTGGGACGGCGTCCGTGGGAGACGGCATTCGCGCATTCGCCCCGCTCTTGACCCAAGGCTTCGAAGAGGCTGACAAAGCTTATAAGACATATTGGAAGACTGGGACATGTTTGGAGGACAACAAGGCCATCAAGAACCTCTCGATCGCCAATCCTATGTTCGTCTGCCATCGCAGTGGCCTCGTGCTCCACTACGGTACGAGCCCGCTCACCGGCTTCCACCTTGCGCCCATGTATGCTCGACTCGCCGCGGACTCACCATTGTTCGTATCAAGCGAGACGACAAAGGGAAAGCTGCCAAAACCAATGCAGATAGCGCTCGACCAGCTATCTGCCTGGTGCTTTGCGTTCAGGAAAGCATCCATGCGTCTCACCATTCGATATGTTAACTCTGACGCTGGCGCGTTCTGTCATGTTATTCAACATCAACAAGCACACGGCGAATCACGCACAGCTTGTTGGTATCGCAACGTGTGGACATACACCCCACTAGTTTTAGATGCGCCTGAATACGAGCTGGGCGGATCTGCACCGGCAACCTTCGATGTTATCGACACATCCAATTTGCTCGACTATGTGGGCTGTCTCAACATCCTTGCAGCATCTGCGTCGTTGATTCGCCAAAACGCCTCGTCCATCCTGCGGACAGAAATGCTCATACCCTCTGAAATCGACATGGCAGCTTCAGCCAGCGCTTTGCTTTGTGGACACCTTCCAACAATCGCTCTACTACTCGGTCTAAAGCCCGTTCAATACTGGACAAATGCAACCTCCGTTTGGCACCTGAACGTCGCCAATTCCCCCGACTTGAACAAGACCAGTATGTTCGCTGCAGCCACGTCTAGGCCCATTGTACTCTGGAAGCCGGTCAATACTTCTAAAATTCGTTACGATGCAGCTGAGCTAGCTAGACTGCTTATGTCTATGTATCTGAACATGTTCCAGGATGAAGGATGGGCCAATCAGTTCTCAATCCTGGGCTTAGGCAATGCAGAATTGCAGAAGAAGAAGCTTACCGCATACGAACTGTACACTCGAGCAAGCTTCGTGTCGCTGCTTCAGCACATCAAGGTATCAAACGTCGTTGACTGGTCTCCATTTATGCATGCTCTGGTCGAAGTAGGCATCATGAACGACACAACCTTGAACATGGGTCCACACCACTTGCAGTCTCTTCTCGTCTACCTTGACATGCTCGGGGTATGGAAGGTAGAAGATTCTTTTGAGTGGTGGCATCCACGAACCTTCAAATTGGGCGGTCCGTTCCGCAAATGGGAGGACATCCCTACACTCATGTGCGTTACACTTGTCGTTCCTCACGACAAGGTCTCGATGTTCGGAGAGCTTGCCAACGGCCACGGTACTCCGTTATGCCAGCTCCAGCTCAACTCGTCGATCAGTCCGAAAGAGGCTCTCTACACGGACATACAGATGGGTTTTGGAACAATCGAGACTTCTGGTTCCGCGTTCACGAATGACTATCGAGTAATGGTCCAAGAAGATGACAAGGGCTGGAAGGGAAAGTCGCCATTGATCGTATCCACTATGGTCTCCACGTGCACCCTCACCGAAGAGGAAGATGATGCTTGTGGTGTTACCTTTGGACTCAAGAGTACTCCAACAGCTCAGCTGCAGTTTATGTCCATGTTTGGCATGCTTCTGCATGTGCACCGATCTGCTCTCGGCCAAAAAGACGTCTTTGTTTCGCGATATCGGCCAGGCTTCCAAGGATTCGTTTCCGTGAACAAGGTTACCACGTCCAAGGCGACTGATGGTAGGTCGGACATCTCTACGATCGCGGCTTTTGCTAACATGGGTCTAGTAAACGATGTCATCGCTACCATACATCCGCTCGTCAGTAGCAACAGGAATGAAGTCGAATCACTGCGAGTACATTACTCTGTAATCTCAGGAAAAGCAAAAGAGCTTCTGCAAAGTGGAGCCATCGTCTCGTTCGAAACTACGACGGCATTTACACTAAGGCTCTCCATTGGGAAGACGTATCTGATGGATGTAGTACTTCCATTCCCACCAAATGCGGCCAGTGCCAAGACCAAGATCGCACGCAAATCGCTATGGATAGAGTACACGGCTGCCGTACAGAGTGGAGCAGCAATCCTTCGACGCCCAGATAACATGATGCCCGTCCATCTTAATGAGCAGTAAGTGGGTCAAGAGAATTGTTTGGCATCCCCTGACACAACACAGGCATGGGGTCTCTCTCGAACAACTACACTACGTTCAACCTGATGTTCTACCAAAACTTCTCCTTGGTCAGAAGGCCTCGTTTGCCAAGTGGATCGGCTTACACCCTTCTCCCATGGCTACGATGTCGGCAGGAGAGTTGAAAGCCTACCAGAAGTCTCTCGCTGACGTATCATCAACCATGCCTGGACGCCTTGGTGTGAAGGAGACCCTACAGAGTATCTATGCACACCTTGTTGGGGCAGAAGGCCAAGCACAGGCAAAGATCATCCAATTCTGTACACCCACGTCATTCTTCGGCATACTGTATATTGATTCGGTCCGTATGGATCTGTCGAACCAAACTCTTCTCGTCGATGCTGCATATGTTCCTTTCCATACAAGCGCGGACATGGCGCCGCTTGCCGCTGTTCTCGCAGCGCGTCGGGACGACGCCGTGGGCATCAAGATGAAGGAGGATGAAGTTGCCTTCTGGAAGCATCTACTACCAGGATTTGCCGAGCGATGCCGCCAGTGGCAGCACAAGCCAACTTGCGAGTACAAGGTCGCAGGACGCATCCCAATCTCAACTGACCCCGACAAGCGTTACATGTGCACTTGTGGCTACGGCGTCTTCCCCGCGAACTACCTCAAAGATCTCAAGCAATCTAAAGATCTCTTCAAACACGCCGTCCGTGTCGCAGTCCCGGTCATCTTTGCTTCACCTATCAACACCGATGATCCTGCTTCTCTACCGTCGCCCTCGCCTCCTGCGAAGCCGCCAGCAAAGCCTCAAGCTCAAGCACCTGTGGATAAACCTGAGCCTCGTCTGGTAGACCTCGGTGCGAAGGAAGGCACGTGTTGGGAGTGCAGTGCTAAGCGCCACGAGAACGGTGGGGCTTTGAGCAAATGCGCCGCGTGCAAAGTGGCTCACTACTGTTCCGAGGGTTGTCAGAAGAAAGATTGGAAGAATGGCCACAGGCAGTTGTGCCCGCAGTTGAAAGAGGACTAAGGTACTTGACTGCGCTCAGTGTCGTGGTAGGAGTAGGAGTTAGACACTACAAGCACGCCTACTGCAAAACCCACGTCGGGCTTCCGCGACGACACTCGAGTTGCGTTAGTAGCCTACTTGCTTGGGATGGAGGGGTCGATTGGAGGACTTGTGACAAATCTGCCGCTCATCTCTGGCGATCGTTGGGTACCAAGGCTTGGAAGTATTGACGTGGACAGACGGTACTAGTTTGATTACACCATGTCAAAACGCAGAATGTTCAATACTACTAGCCTGCGCGATGTTTTTAGCACATTGTCTGTCGTGAAGCTTTGAAGGTCGCCACGAGGCTGTGATGTGTAGAGGCCGTCTGCTGGTTGGCCTTGTGATGGTCTGAGCGGCTCTTTGTCGGCTGGTGGATGTAACCTAATCATGATGCAAATAGTGATGGTCAGGCGACGTGTACGTGCTCGTTTTCAGCCGCCTGCCCCGGACCTGCGTCAACGGGTCCACAACCCCGCAAACATCAGCAGCGTTCCACGATACCCAGCAACAGCGCAATGTACGACAGCATTTCGATTTGTGAAGCAAACTCGCGAGTGAAGTATGACGACAATTGTCCAGGGAGACAATGGGGCAAGCAAGCACGTGGGGCGCGAAGGGTTCTGCACGGTGGTCCAAGAATAGCCACTAGCGGTTATCGATAGATGCAGGGTGGCGATAGCGGAGCGCAACACCAGGATCGTCAGGGCAGGCCATGCAGGGACGATGTTAGCTGTCAACTTTTCTTTTCGAAGGGTGGGCGTCACGACTGTTTCAAGAGTTAAAGCACGATGGAAGTGCTCACGAGGACGCCGGAAACAATGTTTGAAGTGCAACGCTGCCGCGGATGCATTTAACACGCGACACAAACGGCTAGCCCTTCCGTGATTTACGGCCTAGCGTGATCGTAGGCGGATGGAGCCCCGTATCTGCGCGGCGGGCCACCCCTTCTTCAAAGAGAGTGTCGCCGCTCGCTCCTGCCTCGATTCACTCCCTCAGTGCCCTTTCTTATCCTTCGGGACCACCTTCGCTTTACTAACCCGGCAGTTTAATCTTTCGTTTCCTAAAGACTCTCGCTTTTCGAAACTTCTTCGCCGTACCATCTCAGGGGAACACATACCACGAATTTCACGCGTGCGCCCTTCCCTTGCTCGCCGCACAACCGCCCGGGCCCCTACACCTGCTGTTCCGTCCAACCATCGAGCGTACCTGCCCACGATAAGTACAAGAGAGGTCGTGATACCATCATCTTGATCGCTGCGCTACTCCACTTGCCGACGATAAGGTGCTTACACGACATCGACGATCCCGCAAACGGTCCGACATGATGGTACGAAGTCTGCTGTCCGCCGCCTTTACGGCGACAGTACTTGTAGGCACAGCGCTTGCCGGAGCAAAATGCACAAAGGATAGCCACTGCCCTCAGGACACACCCTGCTGCTCTCGTACGTGTCGCAAAATTCTGTCGCATCGGGGTTGGTGCTAATAAACTCTCAGTATATGGCGACTGCGGTGTCGGCGCTTTCTGCCTCGGTGGCTGCGATCCCCTCATGTCACACAGCTTCGACTCGTGCGTTCCCGGTCCCGTGTGCAAATCCGGAAAATACACACTAGACAACCTCGACGATGTGCAGACCATCGACAAGTACCTCGGCGATGCCTCCAAGATTAACTGGCAGTCGCAGGGCATGCCCACGATATACACAGACCCCAAGACCAAGGAGAAGTCAACGCTCTTGACTATGGCGCAAGGGACAGTCGGGACACTACTGGCATCTACCTACTACGTTTGGTACGGCAAGATCTGCTCCAAGCTTTCCACGGCGCAGGGCAAGGGTGTCGTCACTGCCTTCATTCTTATGTCGGATGTTAAGGACGAGATCGACTTTGAGTGGGTTGGCGTAGACACAAGCCACGTGCAGTCCAACTTCTACTCGCAGGGTGTCACAGTGTGTAAGTAATCCGACATTCGGGCTTAGCCACCCTCGTACATGACTAACGCGATTTCAGACACCAACGGCGAGAACCTCACTGTCCCGGACGCGAACACGGTCGAAACCATGCACGAATACTGCGTTGACTGGAAGGAAGACACCCTGATATGGTCCATCAACGGCAAGGAACAACGCAGACTCGAGCGCTCCGACACATGGAACAAGACATCCGGCCGCTTCGACTACCCCCAGACACCCGCGCGCATCATGCTTTCTCTCTGGCCTGCCGGTCTGCCTTCGAACGAAAAGGGTACCATAGAGTGGGCGGGAGGAGAGATCGACTGGAACTCGCCTTACATGACCAACGGATACTACGCCGCCCGCTTCTCGGAAGTCACCGTCGAGTGCTACGACCCACCGGAGGGTGCGCAGATCAAGGGAAAGAAGACGTACAAGTACACGGATGAAGCCGGTACTAACAACACCGTCGCCATCACGGACGATGTAGTCGTTCTGGGCTCGCTCATGGGCACCGGCGAGAACCCAGGAGAGGCCAAGGACAAAGACGACGATTCCAAGGCCACCGATGTTGCCATGGTACCTGGTGGCAATCCTGGAGGAGGTGCTGGACGAGAAGTCGCCGAGACATCAGCTGCCGTACAACCAAATTCGCCTGCGCAAGAGACGGGCTCCTCGTCTGGCAGTGGTGCGACCGCTGAAGGCCAGTTCGTCCAAGGTACAACTGGCAGCACTGGTGCTGGATCCGTCGTCCAGCCAGGCCTCGGACGCATGGGAGGATCTGTCTTTGCCATCATCGTCGCCATCATGGGCTTGATCGCGTTATAATCGCATTACCCGTATTTTCTTCTACCGCCTTATGCCCTTTTCTCATGTCCGTCTGTCTGTCTATCCTTGGCGTTTAGTTCGATACCTGTGGTCTTGTAGTTTTGTGTACTGGGGTAACAGGGGTGAGACGGGTTGCATACTCCCCCTCGTCGTCTTGTGTATAGTGCATACATTTTCCTTCCTCTTTATCGTCTATATCCCGCAGTCTTCTGGTTATGACATGTATCCTGTCTAGATGGTTGAATCTGTTTGATACAATAAATGTAATACCGCATTTCGATACCCTGCTTCATTGTCTGATGATGTATCAAAGAGATGGAGGAGCCCGGTGATGGGGGTCAAGACATTGAGGGAGCTGCAGCATATTCGGATCATCGACAGAAAGTCTTCATCCGGCCAAGCACCGCATATGCATGCCCCGCGCGAGCATGGAGGCATATACAAGAGGTTCGCAGCATCTCGCTGGAAAGGTATATCCAAGGCCAGGGTACATGTCAGCGCTACAAAGGCGGGTCTCGGCTAACTACCCCAACCGTTCAGTGGATGCATAATCTCTCCGGCCCCGGTAAATTACCATGTTGATGACTGCAGCCTCGTTCGACGGGAGACAAGATGAGCGAATTGGAAAGAGCTTGGTATGCGGAGTGTTATCTGATGCTGGCCTTTGCATGGACAACATACTTGACCGATGAGATGGGTCGGAACATAAAGACAAGCCCCTCGGAGGAAGGTTGCTCTGGCGTGGAAGGTCACTTGCCGTTCGACTCCTACGGCAGTTTTGAAACACTCTGCAATCATTCAAAACTTCTTCCCCATCAAGATGTCTCTCGCACTCTACGCCCTACTAACTGCCCTGGTAGCAGTAGCAGCCTACAGCCTCCGCAACGTCGGTCGCAGGCCCGCCAACTACCCTCCAGGCCCACCGACACTCCCCATCATAGGAAACCTGCATTTAATGCCGAAGGAAAAGCCGCATCTACAATTCCAAAAGTGGGCTCAAGAATACGGTCCCGTGTATTCACTTATTCTCGGTACGAAGGTCATGGTCGTGTTGTCGTCGGACCAGGCTGTGAAGGATCTGCTTGATAAGCGAAGCGGGATCTATTCGTCGCGTCCGGATATGTATCTTGGACAGATTGTGAGCGGTGGGTGTCGTATGTTGCTTATGGTAAGGTTCTTCGTTATTTTCGAGCCGTGATTGAGCTGACAGCGGTAGCCATACGGCGATACATGGCGCATGATTCGGAAGATTGTTCATCTCAACCTCAATGTCAAGGCGGCGCGCACATATGTGCCATATCAAGAATTGGAGAACAAGGCCATGCTTGTCGGTTTCTTGGACAGTCCAGATCTCTTCATTGACCACATCCGCCGTTACACAAACTCTTTGACCACGCAGATGATCTTCGGGTTTCGCACTACAAGCATCGACGACCCCAAGTTGAAACAGCTCTACTCGGTAGGTCGGACCTCTAGATCCTCTCATCTCTCTAACACCACCCCAGGGCTTCGAGAAGTTCTCCGAACTAATGGGCGAGACCACAGCCAAACTAGTCGACCTCTTCCCAATACTGCGCTCACTACCCGACTTCGCGCTTCCCCTACGGAAATACGCAAAGGAATTGCACAAAAAGGAGAGCGAGCTATACGTCGGCCACTGGCTAAACGTGAAGAAAGCAATAAAAAACGGGACTGCCAAACCATGTTTCTGTGTCGACCTAGTCCGCGCCCAAGACGACGAGAACTTCTCAGACGAGCTCGCAGGCTACGTGAGCGGTTCGTTGCTGGAAGCGGGATCAGACACTACATCCGCCACACTCATCGGGTGTACGTAAACCCACCCTCCCTCAATACCCAAAAGTCATTGCAACTAACGCCCCGCAAAGTCATCCAAGCAATGATCCTCTTCCCCACCGTCGCCGCCACCGCCCGTTCAGAACTCGACACGATCTGCGGCCCCCGCCTCCCCACCCTCTCCGACCTACCCTCCCTCCCCTACATCCGCAGCTGCGTCAAAGAAAGCATGCGCTGGATGCCCACCGCCATCCTCGGCGTCCCCCACGCCGTAATCCGGGACGACGAGTACATGGGGTACAAGATCCCCAAAGGCGCGGGTGTGCTGTGGAACGTTTGGGCCATCCATAACGATCCGGCGCGGCATGCTGATCCACGGAGATTCGATCCCCAGCGGTATTACGAGGATGCGCAGACGGCGGCGGAGGCGGCGTGTAATGCTGATGCGGCGGAGCGGGATCATTTTCTTTTTGGGGCGGGGAGGAGGCTGTGTCAGGGTATGCATATTGCGGAGCGGAGTTTGTTTTTGGCTATTGCGCGGTTATTGTGGGCGTTTGAGTTTCATCCTGGTAAAGATGTGGATGGGAATGTTGTTTTGCCTGATGCGGATGATTTGACGGAGGGTATGTTGGTGCAGCCGCGTCCTTTCAAAGCGAGGATTGTGCCGAGGGATGGGGGGAGGGAAGCGGTTGTGAGGGAGGAGTGGGCGAAGATGGGGGGGTTGCTGGATGCGGAGGGGCAGTGGAAGGTGCTGCCTGAGGGGCTGATTTGGAAGGAGTATGATAGTGCTGCGAAGACTGGGTGAGAGGCAGCGAGAAGGTTGCAGACTCGCTACTTCATTTGTTCTGCTTGTGTTGCGCATTTCAAGAACACTCTTGCTCCTTCCTCAAGCTTCTTGAATCTGTGGAACTGTAATAACTGAGCTTTTAAGGCTTCAATCAATTCTACTTATCCCACCGCTCCCCAAAGCCTCAAGCAAACCATCATGGCCAAACGGAAGCGAGACGAAGACACCAAAAGTGTCAAGCCAGTACCGGTAAAAAGACAGAAACGAGCGCCAAAGGTCCGCTATGGATGTGTAATATGCGGTATGAACAGACTCGCCAAATTCTTCCCAAACTACAACCCTTCCGCTGAATGCGACAACCATCGCATAAACACGTGTAAACAATGTCTTCAGAAGCATGTGGACTATTGCATCAACAACGCGCAAACAGCAACTACCGCCGACGAAGAGAAGACATTGGGCATCGCGTGTCCAGAATGTGACGCGGTCATGAGAGCTGTCAACATCGAAATCGCCACAACAGAAACCATGTATGTCAAATTCGAAGTCCTAGAGCGAACATACAAGGCCAATAGGACCGCTCCAACTGGGTGGCGTTGGTGTCTGAATCCAGCTTGCGATGCCGGACAAGTTCACGACAGTGTCTCCAAAGAAGATGGGGAAAATGAACAACAAAACATATGTACATGCACCAAGTGCGGAGCACGCGCCTGCATACCTTGCAATAGGCCGTACCATGAAGGCGAAACGTGCGAAGCGTACCAAGTGCGCATCAAGGGCCGCGTCGAGGAGGAAGACGAATCCCTAAAGGCCATCAATCGTCTCACCAAACCCTGCCCTAATCCTGAATGCAACGCGAGGATACAGAAGAATGGCGGTTGTTCTCACATGCTCTGTGAGTAGGCGCATTCAAGCTGATAGATGTTTCTTACTAATCTGAAAAGGTACGATATGCGGCACGAACTTTAACTGGACGTGATCGATGGCAAGAGGTCGTCAACTGTTATTTTAATCCGATCGAAGCGAACCGACAGTATTGCCTCGGATGATGGAAGTGGTAGACCCAGCAGATTACCGTAGATAGAGAATGGTATGAGAGCGCATGAGGTTGTTCAGTAAATCTGCATTTTCTAGGTTCCTACTATCCACTTTACCTCTCAGGGTGTCTATCAATCCACGCCGTGTTCCCAAACTCCCCCGAAAACGGATATTGAAACACCTTATCCAGCGTGGAATACGGCTCATACTGCTTCCGATCCATAACAATGCTGACATTACTTGCCAGCCTTGCAGTTTCATTCCACCCAGGTCCGTAGTCCTTGTACTCCGCCATCGTGGTGTTGGAGTTCACTCTTGGATCCGTAGTACCCCACTTGATGTACCCATTGGGCTGGATTGAATCATCAAGATAGCAGTTTGCGAAGATCGAGCGATGTTGGGCGTTCCAAGGGCGGCCTAGTGCGCACTGACCGGTAATGGAGAGGGAAGAATTGGCCTTCTTGACGTCGGAGTCGTGGATGTAGACGCCGTATTTGTTGACAAAGGTTGTGTTGCTGCCCTTCCATGCTGTGATACCACCGCCACAGTTTCGAAGGGAGACAAGACTGGACTGAATCCACGCGGTGCCGAAACCGTAGAAGAAGTCGGTTTGTCCTGCTATCTCGTTCTTGTAGAAGTATGCGTTGCCTAATTTGCCGACGTACACGGTGTCCTGGTACGAGTAGAATCCGCAGTAGTAGAAGCCGGTGTTTGCGTAGCTCACTGAGACTGCCAGGGCTGGGCCGGCGGAGTAGGGCGCATACAAGTTGCTGAAGTCTATGTTGTATGCGCGGAAATCGGTGTTTCCGAATGGTGTACCTGCAGGTACGGGATCACCAGTTGGCCCGCTTCCAGTCTTACTCGCGTTAAAGGTTGGCGCGACGGTGAGAACCGAAGTATAGGCGTTGTCCAATGTTGATAGCCCAGCTCCAGTTGCATTGCGCCATATTACATTAACAGTGTTCTTGGTTTGGTCGTTGGGTGCTTTTGTTTGACCAAAAAGGTAAACGGGACCTGGCCGAGTGACGTTGACTTGCTCAGTATAGTTGCCAGGAAGGATCAGGATGTGATGGGGCGTGGTGTCGTTTGGCAAGCTGAGTACTGCGGACTGAATGGTCGAGAAGTTGCGGCCAGGACCAACCAAAATCGTGTTCTGAGGGCAACCGTCCAGTGGCTTCTTTGTCGGATACTGGCACGCTTTGCGGTTGACAGTCGATACAGCAGCGCATGCCTCGAACAGGCCAAAGAGGAGTGTAGTCCAATGCATGGTGAGAGGCTGGAGTTTCCGCACGGCCCGAAAAAGGATGCGCACCGTTTTGGCGGACTGAGGCTTGGCTTGCATTTTATATCAACTCATCGCATCCGCACTCCTGGGGTTGGGGTTCCCATGTGGCTCAAGACATTCGCAATGCCCGGTTGCCGTTGTGCCCTGAGCATCATCATCAGCCGCAAATGCACTTCTAGTATCAATTATCCGTTCAATGCCTCCAATCAGCATCATTACCAGGTATACCGAGCGCGGGGAGTACCCACCCAGAGAGATCCGGAGAACGTGGGGAACGTGGAGGAAATTATCCACCAATTAAGCCGATCACTGACAAGCCTCGGAGATGATCTCACATCGCCAGAAGAGCCGATAAACCGACGCGGAGAGCGAGCAACGAGCCATGGTCAAACACCATTAAGTAGGCATGTACCGTGCTGTCTGTGAGGCTTCCGTGGCGTTGGTCAAGCTTCGGCACAGAGCTTACTGAAGCTTGTTTATGTGACGCAATGACGCGTAAGATCGTGGGCTAAAGACGGCCTGAGATGAAACTGTGATGATGTCTAGGATAGCAGAGATTAGTGCCTGCATGAATGTCGAAGCTGAGCTGCCTCGCAAGCGCTTCAAAGCGATGCGATGATGATTCTGTTCCAGCCAGGACACCGCTAGCGGGAGTCCAGCCAACGTTGTACCTGGGTAGTTGCGACGAAGACGTCCATCTGAAGTTTTCCGGCATCGAGGCCTCTGGTGCGTTACGGCATATATGGGATTTGAGCTAAGGTTGTAGAAAGAGTCAGCCGTCTATGGTGTTGAAGAAGAGTAAGCTCGTGAGCCCCCTCTGTTGCCGGCGCCAACCCGGAAATTACGTCGCCGGGAATTCCGAGGTTTGGCACAAGACACGCGGAGACATCCCCAGCTGCTCTCAACCTCAACCACACGTCAGGCTCTGTTCACTCTCGTCAGCTAATACCTGAAGCCCTCGCCGCGGCGCGCGCATTTGACCATGTGAACCAGTTTCGATATTCGAGCGATACCGCTCCCTAGAGACCTCGGGAGTGTCCCTTTCGCGCCGCGAACACTCATGACAACGGTTCCTTACTCTACAAGACTGCCAAATCTTCATAAGACGGACATGAGGCGCCCTGAAGTGCATTCCAAGGCATTCAGTACGCGCCAAGTACTTTGGTGGTAGGCTAATAATGCCCAGCGATCACGACATCGCCCTTACCTTTTCTGCGCATCGTTGAGAGGATGTTCCAAGACATTCCAACCAGCGACATGCTTCACCTTCCTCTTCAGGGTTCTTGGGAGCCACCAGCTTTGGACACCACAAGCAACTCAAGCCTCGCAATGTTGCAGTGCTTGCTGATCGCGACATGGAAGGAGTGCATTCGCAATTTAATTCGCGTGGCATGCTACAACCATGTTATCGCGCCATTGCACACGGCTATATGACCCTACAAGATCCCGGCCACTGCGTAACCGTCTATCTTCTGCGCGGACTGTTCGTAGCGACCGCTTCGGTTGTATTCTGATCACCAACGAAACGCAAGCTATTGGTGCTACTGGTACTCCCAGCAAAGCCCAGGCATGGCCGCTGTCGCTGACGACGACGCAAAGGTCGCGCGTTACACCAACGATGAAACCTCGCCTTCCCCGCCGGTCTACGAAGATGGCAGCGTGCAGGAAGACAACGCCTATGTTTACGACGATTCCCAGAAGTTGGGCTATACGGCCACAGTCTTTGTCATCCTGAATAAGATGATCGGCACTGGTAGTACGTACTCTTCATGCTCATACGCTCGAACGGCTGCTTACTTGCTGCAGTCTTCTCGACTCCTTCTGGTATCTTTGCAGCAACAGGGTCGGTCGGCGTGTCACTCTTCCTGTGGATCATTGGCGGCATTCTCACATTCTGTGGGCTATCCGTGTTTCTGGAATTTGGTCTCGCAATCCCACGTTCAGGCGGCGAGAAGAACTATCTGGAGCGCGTCTACCGTCACCCTAAATACGTTGCGACATGCGTTCTTGCTGCGCAGATGTTGTTGCTCGGATTCTCTTCCGGTAACTCGCTCGCTTTCGGTCGCTACGTACTGTTTGCAGCTGGTTCGGAAGCACCCGATGGCTGGGCGGCGCGTGGCATAGCCGTTGCTTGTGTCACTTTTTCGGTTGTGCTCCATGCCACATTGCCGAAATGGGGCATCCGCCTCTTCAGCGTTCTCGGCGTGTTCAAGGTTTTCATCCTACTCTTCATCGTCTTCTCGGGCTTTGCTGCTCTGGCTGGCCATTTGAAGATCGAACAGCCGCACAACTTCGACAACGCTTTCGCGCTGGAAGTCGGTGATGGCTATGGTGGCGGCGGTGCCTATGCGTACTGCCAAGCTCTGTTGCGCATTATTTACTCCTACAAAGGCTGGGAGAACGCCAACTATGTGTTGGGCGAGATTCGGAACCCGAAGAAAACCCTGGCTTGGTCTGCACCCCTGGCAATCGGCGGAACTACCATCTTATACGTCCTCGCGAACGTGGCTTACTTCGCTGCCATCCCCAAGTCCGATCTTGCGAAGAGTGAGGTAATAGTGGCTGGTCTATTCTTCCGCAACGTTTTCGGTAATAGTGCTGGAGCGCGCAGTCTTCCCGCTTTCGTTGCCCTCAGCAATCTGGGCAACGTACTCGCCGTCAGTTTCGCCCACTCACGCCTCAACCAGGAGTTCGCGAAAGAGGGTCTACTTCCGTGGAGCAGATTCTGGGCGTCGAATAAGCCATTCAATTCGCCGGCGACAGCCTTGTTCCTGCATTGGCTGATTACAGTCATCGTACTGCTTGCGCCCCCTGCTGGTCCTGCGTACAATTTCATCACCGATCTGTATACCTACCCCGGCGCTTGGATCAACGGCTTCGTCACCGCCGGTCTCATCTACCTACACTACTCAAAGCGCGAACGCTGGGAGTCGCCATGGCACACCTATCTTCCTATTGCCGTTCTTTACCTGGCTGCAAACATTTTCCTCGCACTGGTCCCCTTCATTCCACCAGATGGCGATTGGAACGCAGACGGCTACCCGTACTACGTATTTCCCGTTGTTGGTGTGAGCGTTTTGCTTCTAGGTGGGTTCTACTGGCTCTGCTGGACGAAGATTTGGCCAAAGCTCGGAGGATATAAGATCGTTAGTGAACGCTATGAGGATGCGGAGGGTAATGAGCATGTGAGGTATGTGAAGGTATACACAAAGCACGATTGAGTAAGTTGGTCTTTGATGCATCATGCCGGTGTACTTGGCTGTAGTGGTGCCGCACTCTATGGAGATAATTACAGCGGTGCACACATCTGTGCAAACTTGCTTTTATTGTAGGTATGACATCCTTTTCGGTACAGTGGTGTGTCGGAGTCTTACCAGGTATACTCGAACACTTTTCGATGTTTCTAAGAAGATCACGGGTATAAAGGCCTATCAGAGGCCGATGCTGCCGAAAGTAGGTGTGCTTGACGCATTGCAGCGACAGCATTTTGCGGCGGTGCCAAGACATCTAGCGCACATGCGGGGGCCACTAACGCACAGATCTCGGAACGCGTGACGCGACAGTGCCGCGAACTCTCCACGATTGCCTCGCAGACATCAGCTTCGCATTTCGCCCTAAGCTAAACGACATGTCTGCCCTGATGCCAGTCTTCTCAAGCGAACATCATCGTCGCAATGCATCGATGGCACGAGTCGCGGATCCCCTCTCGTGTAGTTCCGTTCGTTTCCGTGGCGCATCCTCGACGGGTAAAGGCTAGGCTTCCAATACGCCAAATACCCCATCTCGCTCTGTTTCGCTCTAACAGCTCAGGCAGCACGAGGTTGCCTGCGCTAGCGCATCAAAAACTTGGCGGTCCTGCGATATGGCCATTAATCTTCATTTGTATAAAGCAATGAGGATTCACGCCCCGTTTCAGCGCAGCATCAACACGGAATTCATAAGATCACAACTCTCCACTCGCTCAAAGACAACAATGACTGGGACTTCTGGCAAACCCATGAACGAATATCCTGGATTCGGACTACCTCTTCGCAATTGGGAATGGAGCAACTACGGCTTCTATCCGATCGGCTCCCACCACAATGCCTATGGAAGCGAATCAGAGATCATCCCTGTGCGAGAGCTTGCCGTGATGGATGTTTTGGAAAAACTCACCGACAAGCCCGACTGGCATCAGAAGGTCTTTGATGATGAAATCGTTGCCAAGTGGCGTAATGAGGCCCTCGCCATTCCTGACCAACACTTTTGGCACCTAGCTACCGCTGCGAAGAGCCAGTATTGGACCCACGACGATGACCGGCTCGAGCTTCATGACGACAGGCAGTCTTGCATACTCGAGAACATTTTGGATGAAGCTACATTCGATACTGTACGTTACTATTGCTTTTAAATAGTCTTCATCACTAACGCTGTGCAGTGTGTTCAAGAGCTTCGCAGCAAAGCCAAATATTTCGAACAATCGGGCATCATACCTTCTCTCGACGCAAGCGCTTCCGTAGCCAAGTCTGACACGCTCGTTACAAGCGAGCTACACGCCAAGCTTCGCAAAGCTTTTGACCAGCTCAAGTCGGACCACGCTGCATCTCCTGATTGGCATCCCAACTCGAATAGTATGGTGCAGGATCTGGTACACCCGTCTATGTACCCATTGGTATATGGGCGCAGTTCTGGCTTTCGTGAGGAGCAGGTTGGTGTGACGGACGCTGTAGCGCGCTGGGCTGGCAAGGGCGAGGTCGTCCCCCAGCAGGGGCTCGAAATGACTACAGCGCAAAACCGACATGATTATAGCGTTGGAGGCAGCAGCATCCCGCCGGAGTACTGGTCCAATCAATACCAATGGTTGCCGGCCAATGTGGCTTTCCAGGATGATGGGTCTGTTAAGTTTACCAGCTACATCAACAATCTTCACCCTACGAGATATCCCGACATATATCATACCATCGAAAAGCTGGTCGAAACATCCGTACCCATGTGGGATCAGTGTTTGCGGTTTGCAGTCGGCTATCACAAGTTTGAAGGGGCCGGTCGTATGGTGACTCGCACCGGTAAACCCGAGAATCCTGAGTAAGTCAAAGTAATGTCTTCGAACTTTGCAGCTGCTAATGTCCCGTTGCGTAGTGACGAGAACGAAGAGAATTGGACGCCCAATAAAGAAGAGTGTGGTGATGTGGAAGCCAGCGAAGAAGACCTGGAGGAAGAAGGGTACGAGGATTACTACGACAACGATAAGGATCGCCAGGAAGGGTTGCTGGAGGCCAAGTGGAAGATCGTCCGCAAACCTCGTATCATGCCAATTCCCTTCAACGACGTATCCTACGCACCGCAACCAGGCAAGCGTCTTGCTGATAGATTTCGCGATACGGGACTTCAGATCATTGTCAAGATGGCCTCGATTGAACTCACGCCCGAGAAGCCGGACTTTCCTGTGGGTGGATGGCACATCGAGGGGCAGATGAACGAAAACATCTGCGCAACTGCCCTGTACTACCTGGACAGTGATAACATCACTGACAACAGCCTCTCATTCCGCATGCAGACGTCTGCTTACCTACAGGATGACGAGGGTTTCGACGTTGGACAAGACTGTTATCACTGGATGGAGCACGTGTACGGCACTGGCTTTGGGTGTGGGAATTCGCCATGTTTGCAGAATTACGGGAACGTACAAACGCGTGAGGGTCGGCTGCTAGCTTTCTCCAATGTCTTGTAAGTCGGTCAAGATTCTGTTCGGACATTGCCTTGGGCTAACGTATGTTAGTCAACATCGTGTTTCTCCTTTTAGTCTCATCGATCCTACAAAGCCCGGACATCGTCGCTTTATTGCACTTTGGCTTGTCGATCCGACGAAGCGCATCATCTCTACGGCGAATATTCCGCCTCAACAAATGGACTGGTACGTCGACTCGCTACTTGGACCAAGCGACAAGACGCGCCAAGAAGCGTTGTCGAAGTTCCCCCCAGACCTCATCAATCTGCTAGCCGAGAAGGGACTCGCAAGTCCTTCTGTCACTACGGAAGGTCGACTGCCTGAAGAGCTCATGGCCTACGTGCGCGAATACTTCGAAGAAGCCAAGCACTCCCTTCCTATGGGTTTTCAAGAGGCAAGTGAGCATCGCAAAAAGCTTATGCAGGAAAGGGGCGCGTTTGTCCAGACCGCAGAGAAAGGATGGCAGAGGGCGACTTACAGCTTCTGTGAGCATTAAACCGCTCGCAGAACTTGATGAGAACTTGATTGTTGGCAACTTGCGAGTGGAACGAAGCAGAATGACGATCTAAAGTATCAGCCCTGGAGTTGCAGACTGGTGTATTACCGATCACATTTGTAGTCCGCTGATATAGAATTACTACTACCCATAGCTTCCCTGCCTAACGCCTCTTGGAACGACAACTCTGCGAGAGCCTTCCAGATCACAACAACATCTTTTCAACGTCGCTTCGACGCTTCACTACTAGGCGCCATGCTCCGAAGTGTCAAAGGCACCTTGCCTTCCGTGTCATTCCAATGCAACTCATACAGGCCGTTCTCAGCCTTCATGCCGTAAAATGACGTGGCGACCGTACCATCTTCACCATACAACATCACCGTGGAACCGTAGAAAGCGAAACCCGATGTTTGTGTCGTGGTGTTGCCAGTGCCGTTGTTGGGTGGGAGAAAGCCCACGCGCCTGTCGATCGATGATGACGAAGGAATAAAGAGAGCTGTGTTTGACCAGGTGGGTTCACCGGTAGCGGTGGTAGCGTTGGGGTTTCCAATGAAGTGTTTGCTGACATCGATTGTGACTGTGTCTGTTAGTTGGGATGAACTTGGGTACGCGATGGCTCGAAGAAGCCGAACTTACAGGTTACGACAGCAGCATCGGTACTGTTGGAAAGAGCAGGCTCTCCGAGGTATGCAAGACCATCGGCATAGAAGAGTGGCAAGCCACCAATGTCTTCACTGTATGCATACAGCTGGAAAGGCGTAGAAGCGACATCACGCTTGCGGGCGCCCAACACCACGAGCGGGAGCAGAGCCAGCAGTGCGCTGCGCATGACGATATGCATGATGAAGGAGTGTACGTTGAAGAATATTTTAAAGAGCGTCAGAGGTGCAGCAAGAGTGTGAAGAGTGGTGGCAACAGTTAACAATCAGCAGTCCCAATGTCCTTATTACACTCGATACATCGGCCGAGTCAGTCTCTATCTCTACAGTCCCCTGAGCGACTCAGATGCATTACGACGTCTCCACGTATATTCATGACGCCTCGGGTGAAAACCATATCTCTTGGTATACTACATTGGGAGGTCTCCGAAGGACTACAAGGACCCGCTCTCGTACAATGCGAACTGCGCTATCGAGGGTTGCATGCTGCCTGACTTCACTTGTTTCAATGCTCAGGCGTCGCGTAACCTCAGCCACTCAAAGCACAGATGCGATACGTAGTGCGAGTCGGAGCGGGTCTTATTTTTGGCACTGCCAAGCTCAAGCTAGAGAATGCTTGTCGTCCCCACTGTCGCGTATCTCTCTAGGTACCGATCGAACCGTTCAAACGCAGATTCTACCCGTTTTTCAGTGGATATACGAAGAGTTTGTCTATTCGACTTCATGTACCTCGCTCCACTGAGTACCTGGCACAACCCAGCAACAACGGCGCGCCGACCTGTCATCATGGACGGCCCTTCCGCGGCGCTTCCGTCCTCCGATTCCGAGTCAGCAAACTCCGACCATGCGCGAAGATTTCTCAACAATCGATAATGCCATGGGCAGATGCGGCGGAATGGCACCGATCGAGTGGGGGCTCACCTGATGCGCTGGTAAACTTTGCGCATCCTACTCAGTAACCCCACGGCCGTTTTTAGATGCACAATACCACTAGCAGATCACCGGGCAGCCGGTGTACCTACGCCAAGTGATGCCCTAAGGGGCGTCTGGAGTTTGGAGTAGGGATCAGGGTAGTCTTGACCCACGATAAACAATGAGACTATCTACGGAGGAGAACGAAAGAAGAGTACGAGCGAAAGTTTCGATTATCATGACGTCCTTGAGTCGTTGAAGACTGCACAGGATGTGCCCCTAATAGATTCCTCGGATAAGACAGGCCATGAGGGTAGAATGCAAGGGCGATATAAAGGAAGCGAAGACTTGTTGTTGTGGAAAACCATCAGCTTGTCTTTACTTTCGTTTGACTGAGCTCAGATCACTCTTTGGGAGCTTCTTTCGGAAGTCTTTCGTATCTTGTCACTCACTTTAGACTCACTTCCACTCGTTACACGGTCATTGCTCGTTGTCTCTACATATCATCTTCATTGAGTACCAAAAACCTTTCAGGTATCTACATCATGTTGTTCCGAGGCGCTTTCTGTCTTGCAGCCTTGACTGGCTTTGCGGCCTCTTCGCCTTTCGTTACGAACTTGAGTAAGTTGCACCTCATTTTCATGCAGAGGCAATGTTGGCTAACCCATTTCCAGTGCCGAGAAGAGCATGCGATGGCAACACTGCTTCCACACGCTCGGAGTGGTGTGATCACTCCATCGATACCGACGCGTCCATCGAGATTCCAGACACTGGCGTGACCCGCGAGTACTGGCTCGAACTCACCGATGTTATTGTAGCGCCTGATGGCGTATCTCGGACAGCGATGGCCATCAATGGCTCCATACCAGGACCAACGCTCATCGCAGACTGGGGCGACATGGTCGTTGTTCATGTCACCAACTCTCTTACGACATCCAACAACGGCACGAGCATACACTTTCATGGTCTTTGGCAGAAGAATACCAACGACCAGGATGGTGTGAGCTCCATTACCCAATGTCCAACAGCACCAGGCGAGTCGATGACTTACACCTGGAGAGCCACCCAGCACGGATCGACCTGGTATCATTCGCACTTTGCGCTGCAGGCTTGGCAGGGTGTCTTTGGCGGTATTGTCATCAATGGACCTGCCACGGCAAATTACGACGAGGACTTGGGTATGCTCTTCCTTAACGACTGGGATCACCAAACGGTTGATGAGCTCTACCTCTCCGCCGAGATGGATGGTCCGCCAGTTCTGGACAATGGTCTGATCAACGGTACCAACACCTTTGGAGACGGCGGCCATCGTTACAACGTCTCCTTCGAAGCTGGAACTTCTTACCGTATCCGCCTCGTCAATGCCGCTGTCGACACCCACTGGAAGTTCATGATCGACAACCACACCATGACTGTCATTGCATCCGATCTTGTACCTATCGAACCTTATGAAGCTACCATTGTCAGCATCGGTATGGGTCAACGATACGACGTCATTGTAACAGCTGATCAGGGAGACGTGGCTGACAACTTCTGGATGCGAGCGATCCCTCAGTCCGCATGCTCCGAGAACGACAACGAAGACGACATTCGCGGTATCGTCTACTATGGTGACTCAGCTGGAACGCCTACCACTTCCGCATACGACTACGAAGATAGCTGCTCCGATGAGACCGAGAACCTCGTGCCGCACATCCCAAAGACTGTCGGGGCAACATCGTCCACAGCCGATGAGCCTGTCTCTGTCGGCCGCAACGACGAGAACGTGTTCAAATGGGCTCTGAACAGCACATCCATGGTCGTGTACTGGGACGATCCCACACTCATGCAAGTTATGCGCAAAGAACGGACGTTCGAGGCCTCCAACGCCGTCTTCCACCTACCACGCGAGAATGAGTTCGTCTACGTAGTCATCAGCACCAACATCGGAGTACCCCATCCCATCCATTTGCATGGCCATGACTTCTTCGTCATCGCTCAGGGTACGGGAGAGTATACCGACGACGTTGCTCTCAAGCTAGACAACCCGCCGCGCCGTGATACCGCGATGCTGCCAGCATCGGGCTACCTTGTCATCGCTTTCGAGACTGATAACCCAGGCGCGTGGCTAATGCACTGCCACATCGTACGTAGCCCTCTTCATTTGCACTTGTATCACTTTACTGACATCCATACAGGGCTGGCACACATCCGAGGGCTTCGCCATGCAGTTCGTCGAGCAGTATGACAAGATCGCGGGGATAACCGACAAGGATGCGTTGGAGAGCCAGTGTGATAGCTGGAAGGCTCATAGCGGGTCTGTTGGTATCCTGCAAGATGACTCTGGTGTATGAGGTGTAGTGCCATTCTGTCACGTGGTTGAGTCCTCGGGCTCACCTTCCATGCGAGTCTAGCTTTCTGGCACTTATAATACACACAAGATTCATCCAGTGTTTCAGCCTCTTGATGCATACTCGCGCGTACCAGTGACGGCATTTTTTACCTCCGTTTCGCTTCCATCCATCATCGCCTGCGCCATCATTCGATGCGAGGCTGGCCCCCGCTTAAACGCCGACACTGTGTCATGATCGTGTCTACCCAACTGTCATATGCTGGTGGCGCTCCCCTCGAAGTTCTATTTAATCTAATCGAAGCATTCGATCTACAGCGGGAAGCGCGTACCTGCAATATCTTGTGGCACAGCTCTCTAACATACGTCATCGGTCATCAGCCGAACTTCGTCACCTTAGCCCCGCGCTGCCGTCTTACCAACATCCTCATCACCACGAATCGACTTTGAGTTAGTTAGCGACGCGCCGCTAAGCCGCATCTCTCGTGTCATCTCTAAATCATTGCGCGACGTCATTCTTCCCACACGCTGCCCCATCATGGCGACCCCAACCAACAAGTACGTAGACGTGCGTCCCAACTTTGGTCATATCGTGTTTCATAGTGCTTCCTTCGACTATGTCTCATTGTCAATTGTTAGAATCCTTTGTTCGTCGTACTACCACCAAACTCCACTCATGCTGCATCACCTCGCCGACGACATCATGGCCTCGTGTCGAGATCTGGCCCCTTCTAAGAACTGCCACCTACTGTGTCAAACATTACGGTGCCGCAACTTTCCGCCCAGATTATCGAAGCATCTACAGGCCGATCAAACAACTCAGTGGATATGTGCGCCTGCCCCAGAAATGGCACAGTTGATGGTCTCCGTAATGGCCTACCCGCACACCAATAGAGCCTTGCATGGTTGAGGGTCGCCCCAGATGTGAACTTCATGGCATTTTGATCTAAATAGTTACACGACAGGCGTTTCGGTCCAAGACAGTAGGCCCTGGTGAACTCACGCCGCTCAACAGCATGAGGGCGCTGGTTGCATCATTACGCAAATTCGGACCCAAAACCCAAGTCGCTGGGGCTGAAGAGACATCTGAAGTGGGTACAAAGAGACATGACAGTCCTCAGTATGGCTAAACTACATTTCCATTGCTTGCACCAATTGTCCCACTATCTGCACACAAACCAGACTTCACATCTTATCTTTTGCTTACTTCTTCGAACCAATTCTTGCATAATTACAAATGCGCATTCTTTATCTCAGCCTCCTGCTCTGCGTTGCGCAGGCATTTATCCCGACGTATCTAGCTGACGCTACAACTAGAGACGCTGAGAACAATGCTGCGCTTGAGCAAAGGGAAGACGTCCCTCCTGTCGAGCAACAAACCGGCACAGCCACAGCTCCCGCACTGACCGACAACCACTTGTCGCGACATGAGCCGACGCATCACGGTAGCACTGCAGTTCATGGTAACGCAGGCGAGGGTGCCAGCCATGATCCTCCACCAACCCGCGAAGAACACTCTATTTCCCGCCGAGACATCAAGGAGTACATAGCTCTGGTAAAGAAAGATATTGACATCAAGAACTACCACGATTTCTTGAAAAGCAAGGTGGTGCCTGGTTCCTGGATGTACCAGATCGGACCGGACGACAAGATCCTCGGATATGGAAGTCTCAACTTGACACAGGAGGCAAAGAAAGAAGTAGAGGATCACGAAGACACTTCCGGTATGACGGAAGAGCTTCCCGTGGTATCTCTCCGGGCTCTCCCGGCTGAGCAGTCACTCGATGCAGTGTACAAGCGGTCAGAGGCGATCGACAGAAGAGAGAAGCTCGTTTCCAGAGCTTTGACATGGAAGAAACAGGAAAACGCCGATGACGCTCTGCTGATGGATAGTCTGTATCCGTACGTATGATATATCTCCACAGGTCTCATTAGCCAACTAAAAGTGTACGATCTAGGGGGGGTTCACTCAGCCAGGCCACCGATTTTGTGTACCCCGAGAATCCTGGCAGGGATGTATACGTATATTTGATAGACATGGGCGTCCAGATCAAAGTCAAGAACGTGAGTACATGAGCCCAAGTCTTTCACATCGTTAATAATGTCATCGCAGCGTGACGATGAGTTAGAGTTCAAGACAGATAACGACCTCGTACTCCAATCCAGATCATCTATCGAAAACCACCAAAGTCCAGATTCGGATGACAATGTTGACAAGCCATCGCACGGGACTTATGTCGCGTCAAAAGCCGTGGGCAAGAAGTATGGGCTTGCAAAAGAGGTACGTTGCTGACGCTTTACGACTTTATCAAGTCTTCTCGTGCCTGTCTTTTGTCGGACGAGCTTTCCTAGGCATGATCTTCTCTTTCATGGTCTCCCATGTCCATCTAGGTATCTACTGTGTATTTAGAACGGCTCGCTAACATCCTGGTCACATCCTGCAGGCGAATCTTGTGTCATCAAAAATGTACCCCAAATCTGGCGACTGGGAAAACATCATGTATTTGATTCTGAGAGACATCAACAGTCACCCAGGCCGTGCTTCGCGGAGCGTGGTGACCACATCAATTGCCATCGGCTTGGGCGGAATCACACCTGAGGCAGCTAAGAACGACAAACAGAAGCAAGAACTGTACGGAGATGATCTCCGTACACTGTCCAAACTTGGGGTACCTTTTGTCGCAGCCGCAGGCAACGCAGCCAAGCAGCCGAACCGAAAAGATGTCGACCAAATTCCAATGGTTCTTCAGGATGATGACATCCCTCTCATCATCGTCGGCGGTTGCGACGATGAGGGTAATCGAGCCGACTTCTCGCAAGCCGGTCCACTTGTCAGTATCTATGCGCTGGGTGATCGAGTTGATTGCCAATCAAAGGTGGACAAGGAGCGGACAGTTCCAAGTGGCTCTTCGTTAGGTAAGCGATCTCTCCCAAGAATGCGGCTGAGAAGCACTTGATATTGACCTGCGATTTCATTATAGCTGCACCTCAGGTCGCGGGCCTCATTGCTACATACCTGTCCTACTCGACCAAACCTTGGGACGACAGCAAGACTGGTGTGGAGCGCGTCAAAGCTATTCGTGATTATATTACCAGTGACGATTCGAGCTGGGCGAGGGGTTCTGACAGCAACATCCGTGTCATCTGGAACGGGGCGACAAAGGCCGACCATGGGGACGACGACGATGACGATGACGATGAAAGCCCGAACGACTCGAGTCCAACTTCATCGAGCCCTATGCCTTCGGCAACACCATCTCGCAAGAACAAAGCGCTTTCTATCATTTACCAAAACTACATCGATGACATCTCGAACGAGAACACCTGGTTGTTCTTCAATAGCGATTACGGCGAGTCCTCCGAATGTCGTCTTGACACGCAAGCCATGAAAAATGTACCAGCAGAAGGCAATGTCGATAACCCACCTTGGCCTGCTGGTACGTACGAACTGGGCAACCTCATCGACAGCAGTAGTTGCGACTATCTCAACGATGGAACCAATCCTGGATCTCTTTGGTGCCAAGATTGGGATGCACCACCTACAAAGCAAGGCGAACCCGCTTTGCCCAAGGACCGAGAGATCAAGTGTAAAGCGGAGGAGGTGAGATATAAGAGTGGGTCTGAGGGCTGTTCAGAATCCATGATGGGCATCTATCGTCATGCCGTTGTTACGTGTGACTGGTAGCTATCGCCAACGATGCGGTAGAGGGATGCGAAACAGCTTTCCTCGGTATTTCTTTCGCTGGATTGTTTGGTTCGGTCTTTTCCTTCTCGGTACCTGATCCTCAGTCACGCTCGCTTTTGTTTGCGACATCTATTAGCTCTATGTTCTTGCTGAATACAACACGTACGTCAAAGCGTTGCTTGTGTGCAGATGAGCCCAGAAATTTCGAGATTAGCTTCCTATCCACATACACCTTTGGTATAAGGATGATAAGCCGGTACAAAGAAATCCACATTACGCCGTCAGTGGAATCCACTTGACATCTTCGTACGCGTGGCTGCTCCGTTCAACGCGGTAATGCGAGAAGGTGACGCGTGTGCACGGCTCTCAGAGCTGGATCCACAGAACGTCCGTGCAATCTCCATAGTAAATCCGTGGTATCTCCGCCCATCAATGCGACCACGATCGTCATTCTTCAGTGCGATGCACGCCAGCATCCTCGATGATTGGGCAGCCACGGAGGAAGCTGTAAGGACGAAAATCTGCGGGTCCGCGCTGCTCCATGGGCGAAAGCTCCGCGATGCGCATGCTCGATGCCGCCCAGTGATAGAAGATTAGGCCGCCAACGATTGATATCATAACGAAAGGGTATTCGAGATTCGCGAAGGAAAGATTGGCGAAAGGCCTGAAAACGCACTTAGCGGTTTGTGGCCTGTGAAAAAAACAATGGGGACAGCAACGTAGTTGAGTCATGCAGCTCACAACAAACCATCAGCCGGTGGGTCATGAGAGCGAAAGGGGTGATTGAGTAAAACTTTGTTCATTTTTCTTTTTGCTGCTATGCCCAACTTCGAAGGATACATGCAGGTCGGGCGCTATGTAGATCATCGAGATCAAACCCTCAAACTCGCTACGTTTTGTGCTAAGAACTCATGTGTATCAGCCCTGAAATCATCGTCGAGGTAACTGTTTTTGTTCGCGCCAAAGTTGATCAGCTTCCTGCCCTCACTCCACTTCGGCCAGTCCATAAGAGTGTTGCCCTCATTGGGGTCCAAGTTGTAGACGAATGAGTAGTAGTACCCTCTGATGGTCTTTGCGGCATTGTTGGGCAAGATGCCATTGAAGACTTGCAGGATGTCGGAACCATGGAACGTTCCTAGAATGGGTGTACCGAAATCGTATGTCGCGAGATAGGACCAGGATGGTACATCGGGTGCGACTTGACCAGTGACTTCCAAGAAGAGGCGACGGGTGAGGGTGAAGGTGACGTCGCCGAGAATAGCGGAGACGCGCTTGAATTGCGGGTAGAAGTTGTTGAGCAGGCCGGTGCGGAAGGGCGA